CTCCCTCCCTGCAGAGAAGTCATATTCAACCTGTCCTTCTGATTCACTTCCACATTCAAATGGTCATTAAGTCTGGCCAATTCTAAATCCTCCATATCTCTTGAATCTCTTCTCACATTTTCACCTTCACTGCCTTAACTTCTCTTCAGTGACCTCCAACTGACCAGAATAAAAGTCAGACTCTTTAGTATGGCACATAAGGCCTTTCACTGTTAGATGATCTTCCTAACCAAGATCCGTGAGATGGTCCTCCAGGACTATCCTACACCTAGTCACACCAAGGACTTGACCTTTTCTTGATACACCACCATATTTCATTAATGCGTATATTTGAATACACTATTCCATTAACCTGGAACACTTCATTTTCTGCCTGGCAAAAACTTAAGCATCATCTGTGTCACAACTAAAACATCACATTTTCTGAACAGACTTCCTGGACACTCCAAGCACTCCTTCTTTTAAGTTCCCACCCATTCCTGTTATATCATTTGTCTCACACTTTATTATAATTATCTCCCCCACCAAATTGAGAATAAAACCACAGCTTGCTCAGTCTTGTACTGCTCACCATTTGGTGCAGTCACTGATGTCCAGTGGCAATCATTGTTTGTTAGGTAGGTGGAAAAATGGAGGAAATAAATCTGCCTTCAAAATAAATTCCATCAGTTTGTTGTACTGTGGTAGTTTGTGTGTTGCTGTGGTGCTGGAAGCTGTTCCCTCAGTATTTCAAATACCAGCAGGGTTACCCATAGTAGACAGGTTTTGGTGAAGCTTCGAGACTAAAATAGACTAGGAAGAAAGGACAGGAGATCTGCTTCCGAAAATTAGCCAATGAAAACCTTACGGATCACAACAGAACACTCTCAGACTTGCTTGCTTTGGATACACCATCAACAGGATCAATTGCTAGAGGAAGCCATTGTCTCTGGTGAAGTAGAGGGTCAGTAAGAGGATGGGAGACCCTTGGTGAGATGGATTGGCATAGTAGATGCAACGATGATTCCAACATGCTAGGGATTGTGAGAATGTGCAGGACCATGTAACCTTTTGTTCTGTTGTCATAACCTTATGGCTAATCAGTGGCAACTAACAACAAAAATTATATGTAAAACACTGTACCAGACAAGAGAAGTGAATCGTTCCAAGGTCAACGAAGGAAACAAAAACCATTTTAAATATTTTCAGT